AATAGTATGAATTAGCAAAAAAAAAAACTCTCTTTTTATGAATTAGAATTCAAGTTACTTTTTCTTTAAAATGTCATTGAACTTTAAAAGGAATTTTTTTTCTTTTTTTTTTAATAATGATATTATTTAGTTTTGTTTATTGTTTATTTATACGTCATATTATATCATAATGACATAATCGATCAAACATAATAATTGTTAATTGATCATTCATAGAAATTTAATCGATTAAAAATCAATTAAAGTTAGTCTAATTTTGATCGATGGCAATATTCTGTGATTGACAAATTGATTGAAACAATCAATCATCGATCTTACTCGATTCAATTAAAAGCCCTAATTTATATATTTATAAAAAAATTTTAATTACTTTATCTATTTATAAAATAAATTAATAATATTTATAATATATAATTTAATATTTAATTATTATATATTCTATTAAATTAAATATATATATTAAAATTACGAAATTATTAAATTATATATATTAATCAGTAAATATATCCTTTTAATTATAAAAACTCATATAATATTAGATTAAAAAATTTAAAATATCATATTTTTTAAGATTTTTTTTTAATATAGTAGAATTTGCTTTAATTAAAAAATCAACAAACTGCATTTTACAATTTTATATGTAAAAAAACTAGTTTATATTGATATCTAATGAAGTCAATACTATTATATCTTAAAAATTATTAAAAATTAATATTATTACCATTTTTAATATATTAAATATTATATTACTTATATTTATTTTATTAATTTTATTTAAATTAAATTATATTTTATAACTTGTATTTTATTTTATTATCTTAACATTATAAACTTATTTTATATTAAATAATGTTAAATAAATCATTTTATAATTGTAATTTTGTATAAATTAGATAGAAATTATTTTTTAAGTAATAGTAATAATAATAATAACTTAAAAATATGAATTAAAAACTTAAATTCTAAGGTTAAGGATTATTAAAAATACAATTTTTATAATTAAGAAATTTTTTTTAAACTATATACATATTATTTTACTTTATATCATCGTATTTTTTGTTCTTATATTTTTAAAGTTATTTTACTTGTTTAAAATTGTTATAAATCTAAATTGATTATAATAAATTTATAGTAATTTATTAGTTTTTTATACATTACTCTTTATTATTAAGTTATTATTATTCTGAGTTTGACAAATTGAGTATAGAAATAATAATATTACTTATATATATGATAATACTAAAATCTAGTGATTTGTATCTTTTAATTATTTTAACATATAATTAAATCTATTTCATGTTAAAAATCAATTTATTAATATTATCATTATAATAGTTTTTAAAAAATCTTCAATTATAATCTTAAAATAAAAAATTTATAATAATTATTAGCAGTTTCTTCTTATAAAATTCAAAATTAGTATTTTAAATTTATATTTCTTTTTTAAGTAAAATTATAGCATAACTAATTTTTTATATAATATTTAATATAAAGTTAAATCTAATATTTATATTAAATTTTAATGATGTTTTAGCAGTTTTTTCATACAAAATTTAAAATTTGTATTATAAAACTATATTTTATTTTTAAATAAAGTTATAAAACTAATAAAATTATAAATAATATATTAATTTTATAATATTTTATAATAATTGAATGAATTTTTAATTTTAAAGCGTTTATTTTATTAATAAAGTTCTCTATAATATAATAAGAAATATAAAATACAGGAGTTTTGATTATTTAATCATTTTATAAACCTGTGATTACAAAATAAAATTTAACTAAAAAATAAGTATATATAAAAAAGTGATTATTAAATAACTAATTTAATAATTTTACGATCTAGAACTATTAATTGAAGTTATATAAGTATAATTATATTTAAAGATAGTTTCCATAATTATTTTCAAATTTTAATTAAGTTATAACTTAATTGTATTATAAAAATAGTATAGTTTCACAATTTATGATATATAAGACCACAAGTCATTAATAAAGACTCTTAAGAATACTTTATAAATAGAATCTTTTTATTCAAACTTATTATCAGAATCTTCCTACAGTTTTCAGTTTATTATATCTGATTGTCTTATCTTATTCTTCATTTTTCTTTAGAATTATTTTCTTTATTTATAATTTTTTGATCATCAGCTTTAGTATCATCATCTGGATTTTTAGTAGTACAGTTATTGTCAAATCATATATGATAAAATAACATATTACAAGTATAAAAAATAGTATCTAAAAATGCTTCAGTATTATTTTATCATTTTCAGTAAGTTTTTTGTATTGAATAAAAGTCATAACTTCTTATATTTAATACAATTTATAATAATATCAACATTTTTGCATATGCAATAAAAGAATAAAATAGCATAATACATTTACTTTTATAGTTATAATTTTGCCTTTTATTTTTGTTTATATATTCTTAAGTGAAGGATTATGCTCTTCTGTTGTTTGTTACCATATAATTTTTTAAATAATTTGTAATGCATGTCTTTTTCAGAAACGATCTGAAAGATAATATAATTATTCAAAATCTTTTGGTAAACAATTTGGCAGATGACAAATAGTGCAAGCTGGTTTACCATATTTTTTTATTATAATAAATAATATTTAGCAGTACAGTCTTTGTTGATAATACTATTATCTATGAGTTAAACAGTTTTTCAGAACCTTTCCATCTCTATTTCTGATGTTACAGTAAATGTTTCAAAGGGTTCACCTTTAGAAGACTGATGGCTGAAAATATCATGATGTAGATTAATTGGATTTGAAGATTTAAAATTAAATCTCCTTTTAAGGTAAAATTTTCCTCAGCAATTTTGTAGATTTTATTTATTTTATCATATTTGCCTATTAATTTTTCTGATTTAACAATTATCTTAGTTCACATCAATCTGTTTACATTATATATAAATTCAATATTAGTTAATATTTAAATTGCAGTAATAATTATCGATAATTCATATTACCTCTTAATTGTATTGAGCTCGGAATTCCTAATTCAATTAATTGAGTATCTTGAAAAACTGTTAAAATGCATTGAAATTGAAATTAATATTTCGTTCGATGTCAGTTTTTTGTTCTTTTAAAGCTAAGACTACTCTTCTTGCCTCATCGTTACGTTTACGATTATTGAAAAGAAAAAAAGCCAAGTGTATCTTACCTTCATTATTCTCATCCTTTTCAAGATATGAGGTGATAAGAGAAAAATTAATAGGCTTCGTCAAATTTTTAAATGTAAATGTTCTACTTTTATATACTGCATCAGGATTTGCTTTACGTAAAATTGATATATTCGGTATCTCTTTATCTGCCTCTTTAAATGCTTCCTTCATTTCTTTTCCATAATATCCATATTTTTTAAAATGCTCATATTTATTAATAAGAACAAAGCCAAAAATACAATATATTCCACAGCTCATCGGCTTTAGGTCTTTGGTTTGGGTTTGCATCCATACATCTATAAGCCAATTTCTTATAAAATTCGATAACCAAAGTCTGAAATATAAGAATCTTTATCTTGCAAAATATTTCCACTATGAAAATCTTTATGACAATATCCTAAATTATGCAAATAATAAAGATCACCAGATAAATCGCGTAATTTTCCAATTTTATCTTCCCATAACAAGTTGTTAAAATAAATTGAAAGATAACTTCTTAAATTTCCATCATATGCTAATTGCATGATCATAATAAAATCTTTGGTTTCTGGATCCTTAGTTATCCCATATAATGATAATGCTCGACCTTCTTGACAAATATCCCATTTTGCTTTAAGCTAAGTTTTGTAATAAAAATTTTAAGTAAATTAGAAATATTATTATTTAATAATACCAAATATAAACGTAAATACCTCATTAAAATAATTAGCTGACATATTCCGTGATCCATTTAACCTTTTCAAGGCAATCTTCATAGGTTTAGGATCAAACTTTATCCAATTTCCGTCATTTTTCTTTCTAAATTCCGATTTACCATCGATCCAAGTTGCAGAATACACTTTGGAAAATCCTCCTTCACCAATTTCTTTTATATCTGTGAATCTATCCAAAGGCACCCATTCAAGAAATCTTGGACGATATTCTTTATTTCTTGCTTTATATATTGTTTCTTTTATGAATTTATCAATATCAGAATTTCCACTAGTCCAACCTTCAATCATACACCAAGGATCACATTCTTTACACCATAATTTCTCGGAAAATGGTTCATCGCAATAAGAACAATTCTTATTTGAAAAACTTAATTCTGATTTTATTATAAAAAAAAAAATCTCAGTAACATTGCTTATTTCAATAAGGATATAAAAAGGAATTATCGGAAAAATTTTGCGAACAATTTGACAGTGTATAATATATATTTCTATTTTTGGTAAGATCAATTTCGTACCAATTAAAATCGCAAGTTTATCACTTTTATTAAAATTATAAATGTAAAATATGAATTAAGTTCCTATAAAGTTAATACAAGCGAAATAATAATAATTTTTTAAATACTATTTATTAAATAAAAAAATATCTAAGCAAATTGTCTAAAGTTTTAATGTTCCCATAGAGCCGCAAGCATTGAGGATTTTATGACTCGAGGCATCGTATACAATTGCTTGTCTATCCACAAATATGGATCTGAATTATGAAAATATCCATGTGTATTCATTGCCTCTTTCAGGTGATCTTTCAAATATACTTGACCTTTCAATAGAGATGCTTGTATTGATTTGTCTTCAGGATAATATCGATATGAAGTTTTTAATAAGCGAACAAAGTAACTAGTTTCTTCCAGATTTCCCATAGCATTTTTTGAAGATTCGCCCCAACTACCGTCTTTATGTTGAGTTTTTAATGTCCAATCTACAGATTTTCTACAAAAACTTAAAAGTCCAGCCACGTCCAAAGTTGTTAAAGTGCTTAAAAATTCGGGATGATGCGTTAAAGACAAAAGCAAATCGATGGCTTTGAATGTTGAATAACCTGGACTCTTGTGCCATGGATCAGTCAAAATCGCTACTTTGGAGCGTTGTTCCATAATAAATTTCGCAACTGATTCAATAATTAGTTCAAGTTTAACTTTTTGAGAATTAGTCTTGACGGTAAATAACATGGATGTAATTCCTCTTGCTTTTATTTTTTCATATTCTAAAATCAAAAGGCTCAAAACGTGAACATTGCAACTTATTGAAAAAGTTCGTTCAAGTGGAAAGGTTATAAAATATTTTCCATTGTAAAAGGTTTGTATCAATGGATCAAGATCACATTCGGAGTTTGCATCGAATTGGCGTACAACCCAACGCGTAACAGATGTATCATCAGCATCAGCCGGTGTTCTGTTATCCCAACTGGACCGTCGAAGTTTTCCATTAGCTTCTTTAAGAAGTGCTTTAAGATATACAACAAATGCATTATTTTTTTCTAAAAGTTGTTTGACTTCACGTTTATTTCTTTTGAAGTATTTTTCTCTTAATAAATTCAACATTATTCCACTAAGCGATTGCGTGACCCATGCAGTTTCAAAGATTCCAACGTCACAAATACAGGGTACGCATCCCTGAGTTTCAGCGTAAGATGGGCAACGGTTGAGAATTTTTTTAAGAAATTCGTATCCCTTATCGTCCCACTTGGAGGCGTGTATCATAACTGCCGCAGTAGCCGAGAGCGAAGATCCATAACTCCCATTCATAGCTTGGAATCCTTCATTTTGAATACGTGACAAATCAAATGTATTACAAAATGCTTCAATGGAATGAATGATGGAAACTGGCTGCTTTTTTGCGGCAAGGGCAAAAATCGTTTCTAAAGGTATCATACTCATTTTCCTTTGGTAAACTTTTAATAATCTTGATTTATCGGGAAAGTCAAATTTTACTGAAGGTTCAAGCTTTTCCAATGAGTCTAAATGATATGGTATGAAAAGTTCAAATCCAACCATGTAAAGTTCATCGATATTCCAATTGTTTAATCTAGTAAATCAGTAAATCAAGTCAGGTTATATTTATATTAAATTTTTTTTGTAAGAAAAAAAATTATTTTGTCTTACGTTTCACGAAGATATTCGATCGCTTTTTGAAAAATATTGTTATACTTTCTCTAAAATAAAATAATAAATAAATAAGATATTAGCATGAAAGAAAACAACGTGCCCTGCTGGTTATCCTTAACAAATATTTTTAAAAAACGTGACTTACAATCGAAGATCCAAATTTTAGCAAATTTCTTTCAAAATATTGACCGGAACGAGAACGGAAGAGGCCTAATGCTTGAAGACCAGAAAGAGAAGAAGGTATACTTCCAGGACCTGTTCCGGACCAACTTCCATTTGATTCTTGGAATTCAAGAAGCCAAATGAAGCATTGAGGAAATGCAAGTTCGAAATCCGCAGCAGAACTTGATTATTTATAAGTTTTTGATGGTACCATAGCTAGCCAAGCGGTATCATAAGGAGACATGGAATTGTCACCATATCCAATCCATTCTACATAATTTCCGACATCCGCTGAATGATTAGCAGGTTCTTTAGGTTTCTTGAAAAATTCTGGCCAAATGTCGTTACCACATTCGGTTAAAAGTTTATCGGCATATCTAATAATGTTTTTTTTATCCCTATTTTTATCCTTACGAGTAATTGTAAATATTATCGTATCTCGCCACGTTAAATTCAAATATTCGTATGACATTTTTATTTTGAAAAAAAAAAATTTATTAAATAAAATTTTTATATATAAAAATATACTGTTTATGTTCACTATTTTGAGCCAACGCAAACTGAAGAAAAAGATGGAAATCGTGTATTTTTTATAACAATTCGACATTTTAATAAAAAAAAAAAAATAAACCATATAACGTAATAAAGAAATAATGCTGTTACATTAAATTCATTCATTGCAAAGGTGTTACAAGAAAATCTGATGTGCACACTGAACATAAAGTTGTAAATCAAATAAACGTTCTCAATGGATAGTTTATGGTTTATTTGATAAACAGTGTAACTAGAAAATATATTTCAATGCAATTACCTTAATAAATGTCCTTGGAATTACAGGGATTACAGAACCGAAATAATAACAATAGTTTTTTGTCATTTAATTATTATTTGCATCCGATCGACAAAAGACAATACAATTTAGTAGATTTGTACTGTTCATAAAGACTTTTAAAAAAGGAGTAATTCGAGCACCAATTTGTCATGCATTCAAACCCAAACGTTGTGGATTTTCAATCCGGTTTTAATTATCCTTTCTCAGGTTGGTAATGGGGTTGTAATCCAGTCACTTGTTCCTAATCAGGATTTATGTATGCTATTATAAGTCCTTATTTGAGAATTCCAATATGATTCATATTATTTAATGAACATTAATTTGCTATTATTATGAAAGAAAGTTTCACTTTTTAAGACAGCTATATGATTATGAACAGAGCAAATTCTGATTTAAGATAAATAATAATTCTTTATATTACAAATAGTTTATAATTTGACATTGATTGTAAATACAGTATTTTATTTAATAAATAATTTAATGTTATATTACAATATTAAATTTGTTTTGCGACTCTAATAATATTTTGTATCTAATTTTAAAATACTTGTTTATTAAAACATATAAGTGATTTTTTAAAAAAAATAAAATAAAATAAAATAAAAAACTTTTTTTAAGTTTTTAAAATTTTTTTTTTAGATAAAAATAAAAGTATTTTTACTAAAATTTAAAATTGATTTATTATTTTTATAATCAACCTGACTATAACAATTCTGCCTATAGTCATATCATATAAATCCTTTTATAATTATGCTTATATTAAAACCAATTATAATTAAAATAAATAAAAAAAATATCCTTTATTATCAATATAATAAAATCTTTTTATAAGCATTTTTAAAAATTTTACTATATAACCAAAAGTACTAATTATAGATAAGTTATCAAATAAGTAATAATAATAATTTAATACTATTGTAAATATATTAAAGAAGTGAAAAAAAATATACATTTATAATTTTATAAAAATTATTTAGCTTAATTCTTAAATATTTATTAACTAAAATTAAAATACTATAAACAAAAACCAATTTTTAATTAAATTAATTTAATTAATAATATAAAAAATATTAATATTTTATAAATACAGTATTTAATTAATCTAAAATAAATAATTTAAATTTTTTTAAATTATTTTATATATACATCTTGCTAAAAGTAATAGCAGATAATTTTTTTAATCTTATATATACAATTTTAAGTTTTATTTTAAAATAAAGATAAATCTATAGCTATAACTTTTATTAAGTAATTAATATTTAGTATATTCTCTATTTGCGTCGAAATATGCTTAAATTTGAT